GTGGTGTGGAGACATGGGATAATCTGGTGTGGATTTCACCAGAGCCATGGATGGCCAAATTGTCTATTTTAAAATTGAATTAAATTATAAGAGGAATTATGATAAATTGTCCTTGGGAATGGAAAGAAAAAATTATTAAGAAGATTATTTTTCTATGCAGGGAGGACTAAAAAAGACTTGTTTTGAAGCCTGCATTTTTGTTTGATGGCTGACTTCTGCACAGCCCATCTTTTGCTGTTAATTTGCTGGGGTTTTATTCATATATTTCTATTTGCTTTTCTTTTTCCACCTGATAGAGTGATTGATTTGGGGGTTATGACTCCGTGTGATAAGATATTACGCGAAGCCATTGAGAAAAAAGCAGGTGAGTGATCTGTTTTTGTTCCTTCATTTTGTGATTGTGAAATGTTTTTGTGTCAGTACGGATTTTATATTTGTAAGAGTCTTATCATTGCTTTCCCTTTTAAACTACGCTGTTTGCATGCTGTTTAGTAATGTTTGCACAGTATTGTGCTTTTGTTGCAATCATTCCCAGCTCTTAGATGTTAAAAGCAAGAGTAGACTTCTGCCAGTTGTTCATTCTCTGTATTGCTCTGTCATGCAGAAGTCTTGCTTTAGTTAGCAATGCAATGTGCTGTGGTATCTTGGTTTTCTTGAGGGATGTTATAGCAGTTCAGCTGGATGTGGAGTGTCAAGAGTGGGTTAAGCCACAAGAGGGCGGTGTAGAGACATTCCAGAGATGGGGAGAAAGTATTCTTTCCTTGCCTGAGCAGTCCGGGTTGTTCTTTGTTTAGACATCATTGGCTTGTCGGGATTGATCACTCCCTCTCTGGATGAGATGATCTATGTGGCGAAGGAGATGGAGAGGCTGGGAGTGAGGATCCCCTTACTGATTGGAGGAGCCACAACATCCAAGTACGTTAAACTCAGGGAAGGGGAGACAAGTATTCAAACCTCTGTTGGACATTTATTGTGTTTACATGCCAGTGCATTTGTTTATTATTACTTACATGTCCATATCGCTTTTCATCTCAATGGATCCCAAAGAGCTTTGCACTAATTCTTCCTCCACTGAAGGGCAGCACCCACTTTAGTAGTGAGTGGCTGCCATTATGTTCCAGCTCGTTTTAACGTCTTGCTCAAAGAATGGCACCTACTACACCATCAGTGTCCCTGATCACCATACTGGGTAGCTGGTATCGGAAATTTTGGTCTAGATATTGGAGCGCTATCTGCTAAGAGCACTCCAGCACCACTTTCAACCTGGTTATCCATTGAGGGTTCAGGACTGATCAGACACAAACTTGTTTAGCTTTTGGTATCTGATGAGATGAGGCTTCAAGGTGGAACCTGTCTTGATTTGAATTGGAGGGGTGGGTAGAAAGAGACAGTTATTTAACTTATACTGTTATATACATATACATAATGCAGCCCAGCAGTCGATGCCCTGCAATGCAAACAATTGAAATTGAAAGTGAGATTGTGTAAAGAATAATAATATTTAAAATGGAGCATAAGAAGAAGGTGAGGAAAAAAAAGCAAATGCATACGAATATTAGAAAGTACAAAGAAGGGCAAGTGATCGCATAACTATTTAAAAGACTAAATGTCTTTCTGATAAGCCTCTTTAAATGTCTGTAATACAGGAGTTACTTGTGCATTGTAATGGGCTTATGCGGTCTTAACTATAGGACTTCATTTGAAGATAGTTTTCTGGTCTGAGTTGGACCAAAATCTCCAGGCATGTCTGGTTTGGGTTTTAGACAGGTCTGAAATAACCAGAGATGGAAGCCTGTTTTTCATTTGATTATATAGCTTGAGAGAGAGATGAAGTGTCTTGGAGATGCTGCAATGGTGTGCCAAGAGGACACTTGTATACGGGGGGCTCGTAAAAATATAGTGACCAGAGCAGAAGACCGTTTGAAATGCTGAATAAAATAAAACATTCAGTAAGATGCAAAATGTCAGATGTGAGAAAGCAAGTAGATCAGGATATATTAGCATGTAGCTCATCCAGGTGCCAGCCATCTAGTCCCTTTTCTCAAGGGTGCGTGAAATTAAGTTTGGCTAGAAGTTATTCTGGGATGGTGTGACCTGTCATAATTCAGCAGTTTTGTTTGTTGTTTGTGCTGCACTAGGACCCACACTGCTGTTAAGATTGCTCCCAGGTACAGCGCCCCAGTGGTCCATGTCTTAGATGCCTCCAGGAGTGTGGTTGTGGTGAGTTGACCATGCAGTACCGATGGGGTGTCTTAGCAGAGCGACACACATGCTCTGCTTGAGGCCACATATCTGTGGAATACAGCAAGGCTCTGATCCGCAGTGCCCACCCTGTGTCCACTAATTCATTTCCATTCTGAGTTTTAAGATTGAATCGTTTTGTGATTTGAGATCTCTGGGAAGTACATTGTTTGACTTTGTGCTTCTCAGAGAAAGATTACATTTGTGTCATTGCTCACCTCTGTGAGTTTTGGGAGATCCCCAATGTGGAGTAGAGGGGCCCTCTACTCCACATTTCATTTCTTTTGAGGCACCGGCCCTGACTGCACTGACTGCATCTGGGTTTCTCTTTCTTTATTCAATACCAGGAGCTTGAAATGAGATTATTAGAATCCTGTTTTTTTTCTGACACTACACGAACCAAGATGATCAAACATGGCAGAAGGAGAACACTAGACTGCAACACTATGATATATCACCTCTTGGGTTTAATATATTTTTTCTACTTGTGTCTCTGTGTTGTTCATCAGCTACTCAAGAACTAACGCCATGTGTTGAGACTCTGTAGGACTTGCTGTAGGACTAGTGCCATAAAAGGAAACCTATCCTCTACTTTCAGATGTGTTACATTGTTGCTAATTTCGTCCACTAGAATAGATAATCTCCCTGTGCATATTTCATCACTACTATTCCTGAGGCAGTAGCTGAGCTTCTTGAAATGTTGCCTTGTCCATTCCTCTGGTGGTCAAATGCTACACCATTACATACTCCATTATTTACAGTATGTACGTTTTTCATGAAAGCTAGGCTGACGGATATAAAACTGCCCAAGCAGTTCACTTTTTCTCAGCAGATGTTTCTCCTACATGTCCCTAAAAATTGTTGAAGTCCTTTAAAATATGTTGTTTTGCCTTCTAGTGTTCCCAGCTTCTAGATGAGAATGTGAAAGAGGAATTCTTTGAGGAAGTTACAGAGGAGTATGAAGATATTAGGCAAGATCACTATGACTCACTAAAGGTGAGAAATACTGAAGTTCAGCAGGTTACAGCTGACTAGGGGAGGGGGTATGGGAAGCACGATAGCACTTTCTGTGTGAGCAGTCATTTTTAATGCTACTGTGGTGCTTTCTGTTTGCAGGATAGACGCTTTTTGTCTTTAGCACAGTGCAGGGAAAAGGGTTTCCATATAGACTGGCACTCCCACCCCAAACCAGGTAGGTGAGGGATTTCTTTTTAAAAGCATTCTTTGTGATATGTACACATAGGATGATACGAGAAAGAGTATTTAGTATCCATAACTCTGTTTAAGGAAGATTTTGTCAAAGTTCCTCACAGAAGCTCAATTCTTAAATTGAATATTAATGTTTACAGGTGGTGTCAAAAGAGGACACCTGAAAAACACTGTAGAAGCTGTGAAGTCAAAAAGAGTTAGACAAAATACATTTATCTGGACCGGTACAGAGTATTGCATGTAGATAAAAATATTATATATTTGTCTTGGATTCGTCTCAGGAGGTATTCTACGATGGTGTAATATCATTCACTTTTGTGTTATTTTTTCTGTTATTCCTCTTCCCAGTCAGACCCAGGTTCATTGGTACTCATGTGTTTGAGGATTATGACATCCGCAGGCTAATAGACTACATTGATTGGAAACCTTTCTTTGACGTTTGGCAGCTGAGGGGGAAGTATCCAAATAGAGGTTATCCAAAAATCTTCAAAGACAAAAGTGTGGGTAAGTATAGGATCTGCCTGTGGTGCTGTAGATCTTACAGACTGGTCTGGACTGACAGTACAGTACAACTATGCATTCTGATTTCAGCATCTGAAATTTAACGAGTATGTAAAAGAAATACATTCATCCAATTAGGATGGATGAAAAACCTCAAAACAGTTCATTATTCATGGAGCTGCAAAATGGTTGTTTGGAACACAGTGCTCATTACAACAGAACCCATGGCAAAATTGGAACGCCAGGGGGAAAAAAGCAGTAACACATGGCATTTCAAACGCACTGAGACACAGTCAAGTGTTTCAAAAGGGGACACATACAAGACAGTGATGTAAGGTATCTACATGTATACTGTATGTACAGGCTAAGGTTTGAGAATGCTTTGTAGCCTGTTGCTTGTGTGTGGAAAGATGGAAAAACTATAAAAATTAAGTTGCTAAAAAAGGGGGACAGTGCAAAATTAAAATAGATGCAAATACCTTACCTATAATGGAACAAGTAATAGGTTAATTCCATGCTGAAAAGAGAAGAAAGGAAACACAAATTGTTGTTCTCCAGCCATGCTGATGTAAACCTCCTTTTATAATTGGGATCACGGTCTTCCTGCATGACCCTCTTTCTGCTCAGCTTCAGCTGATGAAAGGATGGCCTGATATTCTCCCCCAGAATCTGATAGCGGGCTGAATTCATGGTTCCTTCAATGAAGGCAGCAAAGCAGCCCCATACCATGATACTCTCACCACCATGCTCGGTGGTCTTGAGGAGGTTCTTCTGTTGGAAGTTCAGTGGCATGTTTAGGTATTTTTTTCAAGTTCTGAATTAGAAATCTTCAGTACAAGTTGATAGTGACTGTGTTCCAGCTTTGTGTAGAGGAGCATCTCACCCAGACCAGTGCCTGGCACTCTGACTGTAAGGTTCTGTTTATCATCTGGGCTCTTTATCTGCAGGTGAAGAAGCCAGGAGAGTGTTTGAAGATGCACAGAATCTCCTGAACTCACTAATAGTCAGCAAGAGACTGAGGACAGTGGGGCTGGTGGGATTCTGGCCAGCTCAGAGTGTTGGTGATGACATCTATGTCTATGCCGACGATGCAATACCGCGCAGCATGGAGCCAGTGGCAAAATTCTTCGGGCTACGTCAACAGGTTGGGGTTGCATTTCATCTATCAGAGTTGTGCTGTAGTAAAGGACTCTTGGCCACTTCTCTGAACACAAAAAGAGGGTCCTGCAGCAAAATTGTTCGCTGTGTTCATGGTTACACATGGTTACAAATCTTATGGCTTTGCTCCAGTGTCTGAATTTTAACTAAAACAAGCTAACCTTTCCTGCTGACACTGTTATAGCTCTGTGGAGAGATTTCAAAAAGGGAACTCAATCCAGCATTGTTTATTTGCACTTCAAAAGCTGATGGCATTGATTGTGCCATCTCCCAGTCTACAGAGTGGGTTTTAAGTAGATCTGGTTTGCAAAATTTATTCAGAATATCCAAAATTTCAAGCCCTTGGTTGGAGGGTGATTTGAACTACATTGTATCTGTGGGCACATGCATATAGTTTTACACAGTATATCCATCCATCATCAGGAAGTACCTTATTGCAGAATCATAGAAGACAAGGCTGTACTACACCTTGAGCATTTTGTCACACATACAAGCAAGCACTCTGGGGGGTTTTAGGGGTACCAATTAAGCTAGTTAACATATTTTTGGAGGGTGTGAGGAAGTTGAAGCACACAAACATGGAAATGATGTGCAGATTGCACACAGAAAGAACTTGGGCTCAGAATTAAACCCTGGTGCTGCGATACATTTGAGTTCAGTGCTTGTAACAAACGCTTTAAGAGATGTTAAGTGGTCGTTTCCTCTACATTATTGAGCACATCTATGATTTGTTGACTGGAGATGCTCGCGGTGATTGGCAGGAGCTGCCAAAGTAAAACTAAATGCCATGGTGGAGTATGTAAAGCAAAGACTGAGAACCGCTGTGTTAAACATGCCACATAACAAGATGTATAAGTTTGAAAGCATCCAGTGGTGTCAGGATCGTTCTTTTTTTCTCCACAGGCAGAAAAGGACTCCTCGAACTCAGAGCCATACTACTGTCTCTCTGACTTCGTGGCACCATTGCACAGTGGCATACCCGATTACATTGGCGTGTTTGCAGTCGCTTGCTGTGGCGCTGAAGAGCTGAGCAGGGAGTTTGAGGAGCAGTGCGATGACTACAGCAGCATCATGGTCAAGGCCCTGGCCGATCGGCTGGCCGAGGTGAGGCTGCCTGGAGCAGGTCGCTGTGCGGCGTTGCCCCACGTTCATGCTTGTGTCTGAAGACGTGACCTTCCTGTCATAACTGGGCTGTCCCTCTCTTCATGCTGCTGTCTACTCTAGATGTCTGCCATTGTGCATTGCTTTGATCTTTGGGGAGCACACTGGTGATTTAGGAATTCCTTAAAACCCAGTGGATGCCTATCATGGGATCCATACCAGGGCTCGTGCATAGCTGGGATTGCAGTGGAAGTACATGTAGCATTGAACACAATTCTGCATGCTTATGTAGCTGTCAGGAATATGAATGAAGAGACTAGTGCTTTTTGACATTCAGCAGCTCATCGTTAGTGATTTAACACAGTGGCCAAGGCTCACATATGGAACTTAGGTTTGTGTAAAATTTCCATATGTGTTTCCTGCAGAGGCATCCACTGTGTGAGGACCAGCTGCTACACGACAGTGCAGTTTTGTAATTTCATCAGCGCTACAGTATATACAGTAAATGACTGTGACCTTTATACACTTGAAAGACATGATAAAATTCATCGTCCTTTACTTCTTTCACCAAGCTTTCTTATATACAGTACATGTTCTTTTCTTACTGATGACAGGAATATGATTAATATATACTGTAAGGAAATGGGGATAATAATGCATTTGTGCTAAAATATTATGCGTGCGTGTTGAGATTCTTCCTGCATTTTGGTTAAAATTTTGTTTTTAATGTCAAACTACAGTAGGTAGTATTTTAAGCCACAGCAGCTCATTGGGCCTGGTTTTCTTGGCGTGAAGCAAATAGAGAGCATGTGATTCCCCCACCCTAGGGAGACACCAGTATATAACAGAGCTGGTCCCCATTCACACAACTGGGCGGACTGGAGCTGTTGGGGTAAATGACCTCATTCAAGACGCAACTGTAGTGTCTGCAGCAGAGGCTTGAACCCACATCCTAACCTGTCATGAGTCCAGAGACCCTGCCCCAGTGCTCCCTCCAACATTATTTAAAAAGTGATAATTTAATTAATTTATCAAAGAGCACAGTGAATCCCGTCAGGCAGTTGGCCACCAATGGAGAGACGATGAAAAGTGTAGGGAGTTATGGATTAGTCCTCGGTGTGAGTTTGGGCTCAGTCCGTTATTGACACAATTTCAGCAGTCATGTGCTGGAGTGACTGTGTATATTTCCAAACCGTTTTGGTCAGTGTTCTGTCAATAAAGGCTTCTGACTCAGATTGGCTCCATCTTATGGCTTTGCTCCAGTGTCTGAAGGTGCTCATTGATTCTCCTTGTCATTGAGGATATTGACTTGCTGTTGTGAGCCAGGGATCACGATGCACAGCTGTGGTTTGGGTTCTAGCTCTTATTCTGTCAAACGGGAAGAGTGTTGTAGAGCTCTGAACGCATCTATGGGTTTGAGCTCAGAATCTCTTTCCTGCATTTCCTTTACATGTTTGTTCTTTCTATGAACCGGGTTCGGATTTTGGTGGTGAAGGAAAGGGAATACAAAATGCAAATATTTATCTGCTAATCCCTTGCCTTCCTTTCTTCTTACTTGCCATTTACTAAAGCCCTGCTCACACTGTCTGTGCTCCTGCACAGCTAACATCGTTTTTTTTTCTTACAGGCCTTTGCAGAAGAGCTCCATATGAGGGTTCGCAAAGAGTTCTGGGGGTATGGCAGTGAAGAAAGCCTCCATGCCGCTGACATGCACAAGATCCAGTACCAGGGGATCCGGCCTGCCCCTGGTTATCCCAGCCAGCCAGACCACACTGAGAAGATGACCATGTGGAGCTTGGCCAACATGGCCGAGAAAACAGGTGCTGTATCTGAGAGAGGATATCCCCTGTCTTGTGTATGAGCTGGGAAAAGACAGATTTTCTGGATCAAGCCTTCAGATTTAGTTTAGTTTGCTCATGGCTCTTCAGGAGTCTACTTTGCTCTGAGCTGAAGTTTGTAGTGGTGCTGGAGTGGTTGTTCATGAAGAGTTGCTGCTGGTTCTACTCTGAAATCAGTTAGGATTATGAATAAAAACCACAATTGGTGCCTTGCAGTGCTGGAGCCCTGGGTTCAATTCCACACCTGGGGTCCTGTCTGTGAGGAGTTTGTATGTTCTCCCCATGTTTAAAGTAGCTAGAAAGAGAATGGATGGATGTATGTATGTTGAAGACTACTTGCAGTGAAAGCAATTGGAGAACTATAGAAAATTAACAGTGCAAAATGCACAATATGGAGTAGTATAGACATGCTCTAATACAATAATACATTATGTGCTTACAATATAAGGATGGATTCTGTTCTATGTCAAGTGTATTGTAGAGATCAAGCGTGTGACTTTGGTTACTGTAAGCAGTGAAACCTGGATTGCCTTTTATTATAACCGAACTGATTTTCTTTATTTCTTTCGAAGAGCTTTTAAGATTAAATGGAAGATCTCTCATTAGGAAGAGAAAGGTGTATTCTTATATGATTCTGTGTTGTGTTTTTCATGCAGGAATAGGATTAACTGAGTCACTGGCTATGACTCCAGCAGCAGCAGTCTCTGGACTTTACTTCTCCAGCCCTAAATCAACTTATTTTGCTGTGGGCAAGATTACAAAGGAACAGGTATGTTTTTATGTTCTAAAGCAGAGTGGTCCAGCTCCAATCCCAGGGAGCCTGTGTGTCTGCAGGTTTTGGATCTGCTTGCTTCGGGCTTAACTGGGTCAATTTACCCTGTTCTCCCAGCTCAGCGGGCTCTGGTGCTGTAAAGAGAACTCGAAAATCTGCTTACACACTGGCCTTTAAAGGCTGGAATCAGACTGTGCTGTTCTGTTTGAGCCTGTGATGATGTAAATAATTATTTTCTTGATTATTGGTGCTGATCCTTGAAAATAGGTAGATTTTCATTTTATTTTTCTCGATAATGGTCAACATCAGGCCTTTTATTGTTCTCCATTTTGTATTTTTCAGGTCGAAGATTATGCTCTGAGGAAAGGGATGCCGACAGCTGAAATTGAGAAGTGGCTCGGGCCCATTCTTGGTTACGAGACTGAATGAATCAGAGACCTTTTCTTCATAAAGCATACATTAACGTTGAATATACTTCTTGACCTTATGTATTATGGAACTAGACATCGTTTGCGGTAGAAGGAAGACTGTTCTGACCTGATGGTTTTTTAACGGTTTGAACACGGAACAATTAGGGCGAGTACTGGACTTTTTTCTCAATTCCACTAGCAATGGTTTACATAAAAAAAATCCACGTTTGAAGAAAATGTGTTTTTTCCATGTGGGTTTCTGGTTTCTTTCATATGGGGTCCAAAGATAAATTGAAAACAAAGTAACAGTTTCTTGAAACAGCTGTAGGGCATCTGAGGAATAGCAGAGCTTTGTCTTTTTGCAGTCACATAGTTCAAGCCTTCAAATTCAGGACAGTGAGTTGCCTCTACGGTACTGATTGAGACATGACTGTGTCTCTTGTGGTCACATTGCCTGTTTTCAGAGTAATTTGTTTTTTGAGCCTGAGATCAGGACAGACATGACATTATGAGTTCCCTTGATAGTGGCTGAGGCAGAACACATGCTTTCCTTCAAAAATCTTAGCCTGGTAGGCATTTTTTTCACAGGTTGTCCAAATCTTCATGTTTAATATTAAACTTTTTTTCTGTTCCTTGTGTCCACATTGTGTATGCGTGGTGTTAATCTGTGGTTTAAATTGTCATTAGCACTTTTCAGTGGTCCCCATTTTTACTGGGATCTTTCTCACCCTTATTTCAAGTTCTCATTCAATGAACTTGATACCACCCTAGTTTCGATAGCCTTATATAAATTCCTGATTGGGTTAATGACTTTGACCTTTTTAATCTATAGTATTCTGTATGTTTTAGCATTCAGTTGTTATGTTCTGGATTATGTAGAAAGGTGCTAAAAAGTTCTATAGATAAAAACAATCATAAAATAAGGTAAAATGCAGTGCTTATGCTAGGTTTCATTGCTCTTATTCTGATAAAGAATTGCACTGGCGTTGCCACCAGAACTTCATTTTTGCTTATTGTACGAATGTCTTGCCTTTAGACTATCCTTTCACCATCATGAAGTGTTATTCCTCGTCAGCCTAGAGGCAACACAGTCCTATCGCAGAAGTGGAGAGTGTGAGGAACAAGTACACCCTGGCTGAGACACCAGTATGTAACAGGACACGCCAATACCCGAGACCTGTGAAGTATCGATCCATTATCAGAAGGTCACTTATTCACCACAAGGGTTGCAGCAAGGTAAAGTCTATCTTGCAAGCATCGGGCACAAAGCTGGACCACACCTGGAATGAAATGAAACCATGTACTGAGTTTTCATCTTTAACATGGCTACATACTGGACTATATACAGCCTATTGTTTAATTACAGTATTTACTACATAGGTAGGAGTGAACTGTCTGGGAAAAGGAATCACATTGAAAGTGTCTGCTGCCTTCCAAAGTCAGAAACCCAACTGCCAGGGTGGCCCAGTGGGTGAGATACTCTCCAGGTCCGCAGATGTTTTTCCATGTATCTGCATCACTGACCTGGCTGTTGCTGTCAGAGCTGGAGAAATTCGAAAAAGAGAAGCTCTGGGAGGGCCCTCGCTGCTTAAAGGACAGGCATGAAGAAAGGCTCATGCTTGAGTGTGCTGTCGCAATATTAATAATAATTAATTGCTTACACTTATATAGCGCTTTTCTGGGCACTCCACTCAAAGCGCTTTGCAATACCCAAATCCGTCAAGTTCACATGCACTTAGAAAGGTTAAAAGAAAGTCGCTAGCCTTTTAATGAGAACCGAAGTTTTCTTTAAATCCCTTCTTGGGGTTGTCAGGGTTACTGGCCGTATAGTAATGAAAAGTACGCTACATTAAAATATTTCAAACAATGGACCTTCGCTAAAATTTGTATCAGATGTAATTGATGTGGATGTGATGCAGTCCGTGAGCACTAGGAGATTAGTCTTTCAGCACAAAAGGAAACAGCTACTTGATCTTCAGCGCCAACTGTATACTGTAAGCGTTAGGGTGTCTTGTCTTGAGGAATGTAACGAAGCCATAGAAATAATGTTCCCGTGTAAATTATTCGGCAGAAATATGTGAAAGGCAAAAACATTTCTGGGACGGGGTTAAAGCGTTTCAGGTTCTTCCATGAGTCCAATGATACTGCATAACATCAGATGTTACATCGCATTACTGTTATCGGGATTGAAATGAAGCAGCATGGAAGAAAAACTTAAGAGACGGGCCGAGCAGCGCCCGGCAGCGCTGTAGCTGGATGTCGTTGCCACCCGGGAATTCTTCTGGAGAGCTTGCAGTGGCGCGGCCTTTCCCACTAGAGGGCGCAGTGGCCACAGTCTGTGCCCGGTTGTACACCTGCCCAGCTCCTCCCCTTGGAATTGCCTGCCATCCAATGGGATCGCAGTGTAACACATTCACTACACCGCTCCGGCATTCAACCTGCTGCCTCCTCCACAACTCCGTCCCGCTGTCTTAACCACGGGTAACCATGGCTGAAGGAGGGGAAGGCGAGGATGAAATCCAGTTCTTACGAACTGTAAGTACGAGCGATCTGTGATCCTTCACTGGGAGCATTGTGAGCGACTGCAAACTGCGGCATGGCATTTTTTTTTTTACTTCAGCGTTTAAATGCAGAAGGGAGTCACCGCTGTTTGCCACTAGCAAGATACCTACAGTGTGCCTCCTTATTGGTCTGTAGGGCTGGTATTGAAACGGTTAAGGTCTTCGGTGGATATGTCATTACAGAGCCAAGCCGATAAGTGTAAGCCTGTTAAAACTATTACGCGCCGAGGAACAGGGGTTTTCAGGGTAGACCTGAATGCATTCATGAAATGTGCCGAGAAAGTTGAGATAGACGATTTCTGCTCGGCAAGAGCCGCAGTAAAGTGGGGGGTCCCCCCCCCCCCATTGTGTTGTCAGCGGGCTGTGGAGGAAAATAACTGCGGTTAAGGCTGGTAGCGCAGACTGCGCTGGTAACCCCAGTTGTTAGCAGGTACAGAGAGGAGCGCTGGCTGTTTCCACGCTGTGCCTCCTGATGAGTGTTTCCCCTCCGGAGCCAAGTCTTCACTGCAGATGCATTCCCGAAAGCAGGGCTGTTATCGTCCTGCGAGGGGTAGAAGCAGTCTCGGTATTTGCCATATATAGTCAAAGTGGTGCTGTAGGCTACTCATCCAATTGAACCTTAAGAGCAAATGCCATTACTAAGCAGTTAGGACACCAGCTCTGGATTACCACACCCATAACATCCTATTCTGAATGGACCCCCCGTCCCCTGTGGTGTTTAGATAGGTGCGCTTGAAACATTAAAATACTGTAATGAACAGTAAATACTCGCTATAAACCTTAGAACCAAACGATTACATGGGCTGCCACTAAGTTATATCAGTGAAACATGTTTTTTTTTTAAAAAGCTATAGGTTGAAGAGATTTCCATTTGAAAATCACAGTAATTGATATATCTCAATATTGCAGATCGATATCGGTCACCCACATTTCTAGAGGACTGGCGTCTACAGTTCTCAGCACCTCCTAGTTGTCATAAGTAGTTTTAAAATTTCCATTCCATAGGTGAGAGTGGTAGAAGCCGCAGTAGCCATTTTAAAGCTGGTTAAATCAGGGATGTCCCTCCCCCCTTCCTGCAGCGATATCCCTAATGCAGAATGTAAATGCTATATGGTTAAATCAATATCCCTTTCGGTTAGCTTGATTTTCTAGAATGGGAATTGATTTGGGTGTTCTTCCCAGCACATACGTATGCGTTTGTTTGTTGTTTTTTCTTGGCATGCGTTAAACTAGCATATCAGTTGTCATGTTTGATATATAGCTATGCATTTAAGTGCGTTCTCGAAAACCGTGGGCGGTATTGTGGTTTTCTGAGACGGGGTAGTAACTATCTACAGTAGACTGGTGCTGAACCGGGGGTCGGGACATACTGTATCAACCGGTCTGCAACTGCAAGTCGGGTTTATTCGGAGGTCACTACAACCAAACTATGAATACAGCTCAGTGATTCATCCTGTAGATGAAGTTGGGTGTTGTGGTAATGAGTCAGATAGCGGCCAGATCCCAGATCCCAGATCGGCGAGCGGCGCAGCTCAGCCCGTGTGGCCGCGCCAGGCAGAGCGCGCTCGGGGTGACACGCACAGTTGGCAATCCCACGCAAGGATTATGCACTAAGCGCCCCGTGGAGCCGGGCGCTACACAGATGACCTTGAAAGGGGGTTTCTGGGTTACACAGCTCGCACCTCACGGAACGCGCGACACGCTGGGCATTCTGTTGAGACTGCGGAAATGACTCTAGGAATGTAGAGACTCATTATGTCCTAGGAAATACAGTGAATTTAGGAATAATAGAGCAAACCATTAATACTCATTACAAAGGATATTATGACACATGCTTAATGGGTCTTAAAACGTTAAAGATAATAATTGGTAGTGCAGTCATTATTCACACTGGAAGTATAATGTATTAAAAAGGCTGAAGTCCTAAATTGACGATTTATACAAGTAAAGATTTCCACTTTTTTTTTTGGAAAATTGCATTTCATTTTTTAATTCGTCTGCTCAAATTATGTGAAACCAAAAGATTGACGTCATAACCTTTTTAAAGTTATGGGGCAAAGCCCTGGCGCAAAAAAAATGATACTGATTGATACCGATTTTCATTCAGGAAAGCTCAGAACTCAGACACGTGGATATAAAAATGCCGGAGTTGATGAGGTAGATTTCAATCAGAAAAAAGTCGGCAGATCAAGGATGATAATACAGCTTCACGTTTCTTTCAAAAGACGATTGCCATTCCATCATGCACTGTTGAGAGTAGAGCTTTTCTCTCTCACACTGGGAAAGAACAGGTCAGTTAAATGGAGCTTTGTACAACACAATAAAAACGTTGAAGACTTTATGTTTTGGTTTTGCAGAGCATGAGGTTTGTGCTAGAATTGGGGAAAAAAGCACCTGGAGTGAACTGGGGAGTCTACCGGTTCTCCTTGTTATGCAGATGTGCTGCAGCCAGATTTCCTGGTGGTCACCTCACTGTTACACACTGCTGGACAAGCACTGGCTAGATAGTTTGGTCCCTGTCAAAACAGCTCGGAGAACTCTCCAATGCATGCTTAATTTCAACTCCCTACATCGCAGTAATTTCCTTTAAAGTCGAGTGAGTGCTCTCTTCAGTCCATCAATTTTTAATGAGGACTTTTCCAGTTGTAAATGTTATCCAGAGCTCTCTTTATTTTCAATATATCAGAAGTTGCTGCACCTCAGATACTGCTGTATTATGGAAAGGAGTGAGGCAGTAATAGTCACATGATTACTGGGAACCCAGTTTATCTCACACATATTAAGGCAGAGAACCTTCATTATTACAGTGCGGCATGCAGCAAAGGTAGACTATTATACAAAGAGTATAAGTACTGTAGCTTTGTACCCTGAGTTGGAAGAAGTGGTTAGGAAATGGATGGATCGAAGGAGCTAAGTGTGGGATGGCATGGTGATGTAGTGGTTAGCATTGTGGCTTCTCATAGCTGGGGCTCTGGGTTCGATTCTGGACCTGGGATGCTGTCTGCGTGGAGTTTGTATGTTCTCCCTGTGTTTGCGTCGTTTTCCTCTGGGTGCTCCAGCTTACTCTCACGGTCCAAAGACATGCGGGTAGATGAAAGGGCTTCTGGGAAAACTGGCCCTGGAGAGTGTGAATGTGTGTGTGTTTGTGTCTGTGTGTGCCCTGTGATGGACTGGCGTCCTGTCCAGGGTGTACCCTGCCGTGTGCCTGTTGCTTGCTGGGATAGGCTCTGGCTCCCCCATGACACAGAATCGATGGAGCAGTTAGAGAATGATAGATGGTTTAAATTTTGACCCGCAGAAGTGTGTGGTAGAGGACACTTTTGGAATTGAAAGCGGGGAAGTTCAGGAGTATTCAGGAGGATGGGAGACGCTGTTGTGTTGCAGGACCTTTCTTTGCCAGGGCCTTTATACCTCAGATTGTGTGGTTCTGATGTCCAGACCCTTAGAAACGTTGACTGCGGTTTATCATGGTAAAAATACAGTAACAGACTGTAGTAAAAGCAGATTGAAATTACGGGAAATCATTATACAAACAATGGGAATCCGTAACAAAACAATATCAATATGTAAAAAGTTTAGTAAATGTAAGACAAATAGAAAAAAAAAACATGCAGATTTACCATGGTAAATATGTGTTTAAATTGGCCTGACTATACAGTATATTGGTGAAAGACTGGGCAGGTCCAGAGCACAAGCTGTGCTATCTATTCTACATCTGTTCTTAATTACAGAATTGAATAGTATCTTATACAGTAACAGTATGGGTTGCAAGAACTTAAATCACCTTAATTTAAGTCTTAATGAGTTGCTAATTGATTGTCACGTACTTTATAAGGACTGGAGGCCTCAAGGATTCAAGCAGGCTTTCCCTTGTGTACAGATCTGTAATTTGTTTTAGCCTGTTAGCCCCCATATATGGTCAAACATGTTTGTTAACAAATCACAATATTTGCAACTCAGCAGCTACTGCTAAAGAAATTCATATCCCTACTGCTTTGATTTTCGATTCCTTTTTTTTTTCCAGAACACATTATGAGAAAACATTTGGGGCAAAAAAAACGTGGATTTCTTTTTATTATTTTTCAGTTCAGCAGCACCTTATCTGATTGAAGTCCGTGCCTCCCAAACTAATCTTTCTTCCCAGCAGATTTGTAATGGTTTTGTGATTTGCATGGGCTTATAATTAAGTTGTAGGCCTGGGCCTACAGTTTCTGCTGGACCTTAGAGAGCTCTCTGCAGTGTGGTTTTGAGTGGTCTCTCCTGTAACATCACCAGCAAATGAAAATGGTTTAAACTATGTGGTTTATCCTCAGTCCCTAATTAGGTAATTGGCTGATTTATTGATTGATTATTGAAAGATTTCAATGGCACATTCTTGTGCATGTTGGAAGGAACATTTTTCTAATGTCTACATCTGTGAGCTGAATTATGTTTCTGTGTAGAAATTGGATGCAATGTAATATTCATTTAAAGAGCTTAGGTGCAGTATTCCTTTTTTACAATAATGAAACAAATAAATTAGTGATTTTTTAACACCTTATAGATAATAAATTGCCATAATGTAGAAGCAGTTCATGGTAGCAGAAAATATAATAATTTCAATTGTATTAAAAATAAGTTCTTATCAAGTACCTTGTCATATATGTTTGTGCATTATATTGCATATATAGCACAGGAATAATACATTAAAGCATGAAGCAGTGTTACTTACTGTAAATATTGTGTTGTAGATGGTCCTCCTTCATAACTAATAGTATAATTCAGAAGTTCTTTATTCCAGCAGTTTTTACAATAATTTAGATTTCTATCAGTATATGTAAAAAAAAATGAAATTATATAGAAATTTAGAAAAAAGAAGACCGTGTCCTTTGACACATCCCATGAGGGATGAGCCTGATTCCTCATGGGAATGTGTCGGTCTCCCTGGGACACCGTGGACTGGGAGCCCTCTCTGGCCTGGGCGTAACAGGAAGT